TTGCCATGAAGAGTCGATTGAGGAAATTCTATCCAGGCAGTTTCTTACCCAGAACTGTTACATTGTGGAACGGGCTCCCAAAATAATGCTTCTCCGATCACTACAATCTTGAAAAACTTTTCAAGTCTAGGGTCAGCCGTTATATATCCTAAAAACCTGCATAATAGGCATACCCACACTCACTCCTTTTCCCTTACAACAACCTCATTCAGTAAATCTCTACTTTGAGTGGCTCTTATGCTTGTCCTGGATGAATAATAGTATAAAAAAGATGGACGTTGGTAAACTGGCGCAACATGATCCTATTTTCATATTTTATTTTTCTAGCTTCAGGTAATACGTAACTGTTTTACCTCCCCGCCTGAAACAGATCAATTTTTAGCTTATTTACGTTTATCTCAGATCATTTATTGGAATGGTGATTGAATATCTGATTACAAAAGACGAAATCGAATCAAGTTTGTTAGTTTATTTTTATTTAGGTAATACTTCTTTGTCTTTCAGGATAATCTGTGTTTTCTCCGATGACAAATTTTTAAAACGGAAAAGGAAAAAAAAGAGGTGTTGCTAATGATGATAGAGGTCAAGGTGAATAATTTTTCCAGAAGACGAATTTCGAATTTCTTGATAAATAATAGAAACAGAGGAACCGTCGTCCACCCAGCAAAAATAAATAAATAAAAATAAAAGACGGTAGTTTGTGAAAGATGAAACGAATGATAAGAATCACAAGATACAAAAGATAGAAAAAAAAAACAACAGAAACGAAAAAAGATCTGATCTTTCAAAACCTGACATCATAAACATTGCAAAATATTCAAAAAAAAGAAGCGTAAAATTGTTTAGAAACAAGATCATAAAAGATCATAAAAGATAATTAAATCAGTTGATGTGCAAAAAGTTTTTGTATTGCAAAAATAATGTTATTTTGTTAAAATATAAAATAATTTCAATACAAAGTACTTCGATGTTAGTTCGACTCCAAGTTGTAATGCCGTGGGGTTAATTCTTAGCGAGTTACTCATTACTACATTGTAGTGATTTTTATTCCCACAGGGTAACCCGTATTTATTACTTTGCTTTGTCAAAACAAAATTATGATACTGAGTTAATTTTGAAAGCCCAACACTTGTATGTTTTGAATTTCATTATATGAGATTTGGTGCTTAAATTGAAAATAAACTGCTTTAAATCGAGATAGAAACAAAATCATTTGAAAAAAGGTTTATTCAAAATTTAGTAAACCTGGGTTTTCAAATGTAAAAAAAATCCTTGCTGCCCATCTAGGTCTGGCAGCCTTGGTCGAATATATGATTACAACTGTGTAGGGAATTCGATACTCAATACATGTGATCGTGTGGCAGATTAAGTTAATCTGTCTCTTTCACCATAGATTAATGACTTAATAGAAGCCGACGATTAAACTTATGTCTCGAAATGGGTGATCAGAGTAATGTCATCTTTGGAAATATTTTGTTCAATATATTTTTCTTACTTGTGAATAAAAAGGTGGTAATATTTTAAATTTATTCTTGTCAGACACAGTAAAAGAACATGTGAGGAACATGGTGGGGAGGGTCTGTGGATCACCGGGAAACTCCCTTTGTCGCTGGGTATGTGTACACAAACTTACACACACACAAATACATATGTGCGCACACTGACATACACACACACACATATATACATACATTGTATATATATATATATATATATATACATATATATATATATACATATATATATATATATATATATATATATATATATATATATATATATATATATATATATATATATATATATATATATATATATATATATATATATATATATATATATATGGTTGGATAGATGTGAGTTTGTGACCCTGGGTTTCACGCTTTTAGCGATCGTCAGACAAACTGATTAATCTAATAAGTACTATGCATATAGTATATAAATAATATATATATATATATATACATTTACACACACACACACACACACACACACACACACACACATATATATATATATGACTGGGTTCTGCTGCTTGTGTGGCATTGTGCGGAGTCATGTTGCCAGATATAGAGTCTTCCAGCAGTTACTTTCTTGACTCAGGTTAGCGCTTGATGTAGGCCTACGCCTTGAGTCTGAGGCCCTGTAGCAAGATGAATGGAGGCATAACATAACCATCGCTAGTGATCACTCCAAACAGCTTCGTAAGCACCATTAGACTCATCCAACTCTTTCCGAATCCTCTGCACTGTTCTCCAAACACTTTGAAATGTTCGAACTAGACCGCGAATGTCACGCACAACACCATGTCTTTTTTATATTTCTGGTTGGATGAATTGTGTCATAGTGCTATTTTTATCACAGACGGTGCCCAACTGACCCTGTGCAGTTGACAAGATAGAAAATAAACAAAAATTAAAAAAAAGAAAATTTGCGCGAAATTAAAAAAAATAAAATAAAATGGCGACAATTTACCCATCGCAAATGATTAGTTTCGTTTATTTGCTTTTTACCCTCGTTATAATTTATTATGTCTTCTATAGTTTTATGGGAATTTTCACAACTTTCATTACCTGCGGCTTTCCCATAATTCATAAGCACCTTTCCCAGCAAACATCATATGATATGCTTTATCTTTATTTTTTATTTTTTTAAGCATTACGCCCCGAGCAAGGTGTGAAGCCACTAGGATGCAGGGGGTTGCAGAAGATTTGGAGCGAGAGCAGATAGGAGTGGTAGAAGAAAGGATGAGGAGAAGGATAGTGGGTAGATCAAGGTAACTGGAGATGTCGATTGACATTACATTTGAATAGTTGGAGATTATAGCTTTCAGGGAAACAGTCATTGGGAAGGGTGTTCCACAGGCGAGAGGTGCGAGGTATGAAGCTATTGGAGTAGAAGAGACGGCTACATTTAAAAGTTTCTACAGTGTAAGGGTGGGAGCTGGATGCCAGCCTCATAGGGCGCTTGAATTCATGGAGTCTGGGAACCAGTGAAAGCAGCTCATCGGAGCAATTACCATGAAAGTATTTGTAGAAAAGACAGAGAGAGGCGACGGCGCGTCTGTGAGAGAGCGACTGTAGACGAGATGCCAGAACAGGGCCAATTATATTACATATGTGCCCCTGGATCTTGTCAAGAACTCCGAGGTAAACAGAAGGTGCCCCAGACCATATATGGCAGCAATACTCCATGCAAGAGCGAATGGTTGATTTGTATATTTGAAGGATCGATTCCAGGGAGAAAAATATCCTGGCGCGGCACAGAGAGCCAACTTTCCTCGCGGTGGACGAAGCAATTAACTCAATGTATTTGTTCCATCTCAGGTCAGCAGTCAACGTGAGACCGAGCAGACGCAGGGAGTTGCTCTCAAGAAGTTGACTATCAGACATTCTAATGGGGGGTGGTGGCAGGGAAGGATCTCTATGGTGATTAATAGAGAGATTAAACCAAAAAATGGAGTATTGTTGCGATAAATCGGCTGGAGCAGCTGAATCTCCACTTTTCAGCCTGGACAGATTTCTAACTTTTTACGCAATTTTGTAAGATAACATATATACTCCACTTTGCAGCCTTCTCTCCACAGACCTACCGTCGACTGCCTCGCGTTACTCTCTCGCTACTTCCATGGCAAATGTTCAGATGGGCTATATTTTTTTAATTCCGCCAGCTTAGTCCTTTACAGCTAAGAAAGGCAATGTTACTTCGTCATAAACCCTTGTTTCCTCCCTATTACAAAGTTCCTCACAGAAAACTGTTACTTTTGGAAAGAGATCCTTTTGAATGGTTTCTTCAAGTCACGGTCAATCGTTATTTATTTTCCTTTTAATCTATAATTATTACCCCTCCCCTTATTCGTATCGAACACTATTCATAATTACCATTTTAACAGCAAGCATCTACCTTGAATAGCTCTCGAGCCTTGAATTATAGTGAATTTTGATCTAACCACAGACGGAATTTTGCAAGACTCTCGGCCCTGTATTGCTATTTTCGGATGAACTACATTCCTTGGTTCTGCCAGTCCCGGCCTTCACAGTCAGGACCTCCTATGCCACGTAGACTGAGTCGATTGAGGAAATTCTATCCAGGCAGTTTCTTACCAAGAACTGTTGCATTGTGGAATCGACTCCAAAATGGATTCTTACCCGATCACTATAATATAGTCGTATATTACTCGTGAACATTTGTGTCTTATCTCCGGGTGTTATTTTGTGGATTTTCTTTTTTTTTTTCATCTTTTAGCTGAATTCGTTAAGATGTCAAAATGTGTCGATAATAATATTTCAAATAATCAGCCTCATATTTGATCTTCACTTTTCTGCTCATTGATTTTTCACCTCGGCTATGACAATCGGTTTCAGTTTGAGATCTTGTGACAGAAATTCTTGCTGAAATTTGAAATTCTGTTATTTGGAAAATTAATCTGGAATTTCCAATTTTATACCAGTTTTTGATCAGGTGTCTTCGGGAACCATTTCAAGTGATCTGCTAAGAACCATCATCCTCTAAAAAAAAAAAAAAGAAAGAAAGTGAAAATCATCAGTTACCTCCCCTTAAGATCTAGTGGGTATAGAAAGCACCATTTATCTCAGTCAATAGACGAGTAGTCAGAGCTCTGCTATAAATTTATTCCCTTGTTCTGTTTTTACTACAGAAAGAAAAAGAATTGGAATTTTTTTAGTACTGACCTTAAAAGTGTTTCCAAGGGAGACGATTCAGGTGTAAAATTGGTTTAAGTAAAATACGACTGACTGACATTGAAACGAAATAATTTTCTAAAGCCACTTGAATGCTTTACAAGCAGCGAAGTTTTTTGGCAAATGATAATATTTAAAGAGGATGAAAAAAAAAAGGAAGACACTGAAACACTAAACACTTAAAAGAGGCATCTGGTCTAGGAAAACTTTATTTTCTTTCGTATAAGCAAAGGGAATTCGGTATTATGTCTGGTATTTGAGTCGCGTTTAATCAAAACGATTGTTCTTTCAGCAACGCTTATGCAAGTTACGCACGCCATTTGCTCCCAAATTCCTCGACTAAATTTCTGTTCATTCCTCTTTTTTCTTCTCGGTGATGTATCTGAATAACTTCAAATATTTAAAGATTTTTCAAAACCGTTTTCTTCTTCACTTTTTCTTCAATTATTTTTATTCCGATAATTTATCAAAGAAAATCTTGTTAATTGTAACACCTCCGAAACTAAACTGCTCCCTGTTAATAATCCAAGAGACTCCTCTCTGCCTTACCGTCGGCATGGCTGATGCTAACCTCCAGAAAAGTGACTCACTGCACGTTATTGGGCTAAAGTCATCGACTGGCATGAAGTGGAAAGACAATATTGAATCCATTCCTACTTCAGCTGCTAAGCAAGTCGCTTCGCTATGTCGGGTGACACAATTTTTCTCTCCAATATCAATCGTAAATATCTATAAGTTTACCATTCGTCCAGGATTAGAATATTGCAGCCGGATATGGTCTGGTGCTAACTGATATTTCCCTTGAGCTCCTTGATAAAATCCAAAGAAGAATCAGCAATATTATTGGTTCTGATCTGGCGTCTCGGCTTCAGACACTTTCCCACCACTGCAAGGTTGTCTCTCCGTGTCTTTTCAATGAATACTTTCATGGTAATTGTTCAGATGTTCTATATTTACGGTGCATAGACACTTTGAATTTCAGCGCTGTAATAAACTGGCGATGTGATCACACCAATTTACAGTTTAGCTGGCTAGATGTAGCCGTAACTTCTATGCTAATAGTTTCTTTTCTCGCACTTCTCGCTTGTGGGACTCACTCCGGGATCTATGCTTTCCAGCCATCTTAATCTGTAAATAAGTTAAATGCCATGTTAATCGCTATCTACTGTACTCCTGATTACTCTTCCTCTGTCCTCGTTTCCTTGCAATTGTTCCTGTTTTTAACTCTTTTATACCCAGTAACCTCTTGTGTCTCAGTGGCTTTACTGCCTTGCTTGGGGTGAATTCGATTAAAAAAAGTTGGTACTTAATAATCGATAAAACAAAAACGAGAGAATAGTTTGGATGCTTCATAGAATAATGGTAATTTACTCTCAGATTTTTAGACAATATTAGAACGATTTTTTGCGAGATTATTTATTTTATACATCTTTCCTTTTTCTTTTTCCTTTGTTTCCTTTCTTTCTTTACTCTCATCTAATCTTTATTTTTCTTTCTTTCTTTTCTTTCTTTCATTTTCAGTTTTTCAATACAGTATTCGTGCATTATCTTTTCTCCTTTTTTTTCTTTCTTTTTCAAATTTTTATTTTGTATTCTTTCTTTCTTTATTTCGTTTTGCAAGACATTTATTTTTCCTCTTCTTTTACTCAACACTTTCTTTCTTTTCGTTATTTTCATTCGTTTATTCTGTTATCTTTCTTTTCTTCTTTTTGAATATTTCTTTTTGTCATTATAGCCTGTCCATTTTACTTCTTTCTTTAAACATTGTTTTTCTTTTTTCTTTCCTTTTTCTTTCTTTTCCTTATCCTTCTTCTTTAGTTTACTCTCGCGTCTCTCTTTCTCATTTTGTTTGTGTTTCAATAACGTACAGCTGCATTTTGTTGTTGTTGATGTTGTCTCGGTCGATTTTTACCGATGAACCTTTTGAAGTGCGACCTTCGTTTTTACGAGTATCGGACAGCTGTCTCTTTCCTTGCTTTCATTTTTCAAAGCTACACACACCAACCAGTCGACGCTATGGGCTACTACCAGCAAAAACACCCGGGTTTCTATCATAGAGTTCACGGAGAAGCAAAATTACTGTGAGTAAACGACCCTTACAAATGGTTAATCAAGTGAGGGCAATATTTGCACTTCAGATTAGGGTAATGTGATCCCGAGTAATATGTTCAAATAGAAACCATTAGAAGGAAGAAAAATAAAAAAAGAGAGTACCTATGATGAATTTGGCGCTATTATTAACAAGTTAGGTTTTGCCATTTAATTCAGAATGTAGTGAGTGAGATTTTCATTTTGGTGCTTTATTATTACAGCCACGAGCTTGTCACTTATCTAAGAAAAAAGCACTAAACAAATCAGATTTATTTATACTAAGGTTCATCATATATAAGCCTCAAGAGCCATTTGTGGTAGAGTGTTATGAAATATAAGAGCAGATAAAAGAAAGTGAAGACCACAAAGATGCGGAGAATATATTGGCTATTGGCTTTAAGACGTTTAAGATTTTAGTTTTCTGTAGTTTGTTTCGCAGAGTAGCAGCTCTTGGGGGTGGGGAAAGATGTCTGAGTGGTACTTCGGGGGAAATCTAGATGATTCGACTCTGTGGAGGTAGAACCACAAAATCCATAGCATAGCTGCAAAAGACGGAACTGGTGGAATTAAAGAATGTATCTTATCTGAACATTTACGAGTGAAATAGCGATACAGTAAATGGGATAAGGTTAATCGCATGGCGGATACGTCAAACTTTCTTGAATCCGTTCATGCAAAGATATCTGGGTATTTCATTATAATATTCATGGTCTCACACCAATTTACAATATTGTTAAATTACCTAATTGCCCACACCTCTTCGGGATCTAGAAAAAGGCACTGTAGGGGAGTTCTCGATGCACATTTGAGACATTTCATCATCATCATCATCATTATTATTATTGTTGTTATTGTTTTGATTTTTATTTAATTAATTGTGCAGTTGCAGTGGTTACATTTTCTAGATGATTAATCAAGCATTATTTTATGTTCGCTTCTAAGTCTTTTGTCGTCTATAATAACAGGTTCTAATTTATCTTAAAGAAATAAAAAACAACGTATCGTCAGCCTAATTCCGTCGTTATGTTGTTCGTACGAATCTATTGGCATCGATTAATTCTTCCAGCGATGAACTATGCCAAATAGGGGAGATAAGGATGCGTGACCGATAAATATAAAAAGTCGCACTCGGTTTTAGATTATAGAATAGAAAACAGCAAGAAGTAGTGCAACAACGACAAAAACACAAATGACGGTCAGGAATCTTTGATGACGCCGAAGAAATTATAATTCCATTTCACGAGGAAATAGTTCCACCGTAAAGAGTGGCCTGTATGTTGTGCATTTCAAATAAATATAAGTAAATATTGAAATATAACTATACTGATATCCTTATTTACCTATCCATGAAGGTGTGTAACTCGATACAATTGCACAAATGCGGTGATATCTACGTTTATCACGCTTAATTATTTCATAAGCAAGGGCCTAATATTTCGATAAAAAAAAGGGTCGTTCTACCCACGTCTGTCTGATGTTAGACATTTCTCTCGGCTTCGCGTTGTATGGAAGAGATACTAATGGGAAGGAAAGATTGTATTCCATGTAGACAGTTACGTCTGCTTTGAGAGTTAGCATAAGAATCGGTAGATTTCATTTCTTTGTCTGACATACATGTCTATGTGACTTTTATTTCATTCTTTCGTTAATTCTTTCTTAGTTTTTCTTTCTATAGTTTTCTTTCCTTCGTTCTTTCTGTTTTTCTTCCTTTTTAATTTTTTCTTTCTATCTTTTTCATTTCTTTTTCATATCCTTCTTTATTTGCTTTTGTTTCTTTCTTTCTGTATTGATTTGTTTTTATTAATTTTTTTTTTTCTTTCATTTATTATTTTTGTTTGTTTTATGATTGTACCTTTTTTTCTCTTTTTTTTTTCTTTCTTTTCTTTCTTTTTTTCTTTTTTTCTTTCTTTTTTTCCGACCTTGTTTATTTGTTTTTCTTTTTTCTTAAATTTTTCTTTCTTTCTTTCTTTCTTTCTTTCTTTCTTTCTTTCTGTCCTTGTTTATTTGCTTTTGTTTCTCTTTTGTTTTCTTCTTTCATTTGTTTCGTTCATTCTTATTTTCTTTTTCATTTATGTCTGTTCCTTCCATTCTTTTTTTTCTTTCTTTTTTTCTTTCTTTCTTTTCATTTATTATTTTTCTTTTGTCTTTCTTTTATTCTATCTTTCATTAATCTTTCTTTTCTTTCTTTTTTTTTTTCTTTTTTTTCTATTCTTTTTTCTTTTTGTCATTTATTTTTTGTTTTTTTTTTTTATCTTCCTTCTTAATTTTTTTCTTTTTACCTTTTCTTTCTTTTTCGAAAGATATTTTTCAAAATTTTTAGGAGGTCTAAAATTAAATTTTACACATAGTTTTTTTATCAGTTTCTGATTAGTTAACATGAAATCTGTGAATTTCTGTATAAAATTAAAATTTCTTTCATTTTTCTAATATTTTCGTTGTCCGTCTGTCTGATGTTATTTGCTTTTGATTAATGGGAAGGAAAGATTGTATTTGTTTTCTGCTTTGAGAGTTAGCATAAGAATCGGTAGATTTCATTTCTTTTTGTTTCTATGTGACTTTTTCTTATTTTCGTTAATCGTTTTTGTTTCTTTGTTTCCTTCCTTTCTTCCTTCATTTCTTAGTTTTTCTTTCTATAGTTTTCTTTCCTTCGTTCTTTCTGTTTTTCTTCCTTTTTAATTTTTTCTTTCTATCTTTTTCATTTCTTTTTCATATCCTTCTTTATTTGCTTTTGTTTCTTTCTTTCTGTATTGATTTGTTCTTTTATTAATTTTTTTTCATACTTTCTTTCATTTATTATTTTTGTTTGTTTTGCGATTGTACCTTTCTTTCTCTCTTTCTTTTTTCTTTCTTTCTTTCTTTCTTTTTTCTTTCTTTCTTTCTTTCTTTTTTCCGACCTTGTTTATTTGTTTTTCTTTTTTCTTAAATTTTTCTTTCTTTCTTTCTTTCTTTCTTTCTTTCTTTCTTTCTTTCTTTCTGTCCTTGTTTATTTGCTTTTGTTTCTCTTTTGTTTTCTTCTTTCATTTGTTTCGTTCATTCTTATTTTCTTTTATCATTTATGTCTGTTCCTTCCATTCTTTTTTCTTTCTTTCTTTCTTTCTTTCTTTCTTTCTTTCTTTCTTTCTTTCTTTATATAGTCTTTCTTTCAATAGTCTTTCTTCTATATTCTATCTTTCATTAATCTTTCTTTCTTTCTTTCTTTCTTTCTTTCTTTCTTTTTTTCTATAGTCTTTCTTTCTTTCTGTCATGGCTTATTTCTTTGTTTTTTTAATTCCTTTTATCTTCCTTCTTAATTTTTCTTTTTACCTTTTCTTTCTATCTTCGAAAGATATTCGTTCAAAATTTTTAAGGAGGTCTAAAATGTGAACATTCAGACTTACACATAGTCTTTTTTCCCTATCAGTTCCTCTGATTAGTTAACATGAAATCTGTGAATAAACTCGGTCTGTATAAAATTAAAATTATCTGAATTCTTTCATTTCTCCATATTATTATTTGCTTGAAAGCAACCTTTTTTTTTTACGAAGCACAACTTTCAAAACTTTAATATCTCAGGAATCAAAATTTTGTTTTCCTCATTTTGTCTAGAATACTCCCCAAATGTTTACAGTGTCCGACAAGAAATTTCTTTACAGTAACCAAATAATTACTTCTAATATCAGTTCATTTATTCAGATTTTTACAAATTGTTTTGCTTGTTAGGAACACATATTTGACGAATTAATCGAAGCAACTCATATCTAATGAAATTCAATTTATCATGACCAGAGAAATGCTGTTCATAGCTGAAAACCCATTGTTACGGTTTGGAGAAATCAGAAATCAGAAATATAAAAGATGATCTAACTTTAAGACAGCACCTCCTCATTATAGCATGGGCAGAAGGTTACTTTGGTATTTTCGGCCAAGACCACCGCTGTTAACAGATTTTGTCAGAAAAAACATGAAATACAATGAAAATTCAATGTACAATCCTAGAATGTCTACAATAATATATGACCCCAGCCCGATTTCAAGTTGTTTATTAAAGAGAAAAAGTCATTTGGATGGAATACCTACGGACGGGGGTCTAGAGAATAAGTCAATTGAGTTGTACACACTTCATTGCAAATTCATTGAAACAAAACTAATAATTTCGTTATTATTGATTTTTTCTTGCATTTTTCCACTGAAACAAGATTTAATGCAGATGTGAGTACTTTGTATGTCCATTCCATGATGTCATTTAAATCAGGTAAGTTTCCAGGCTAATTTATATTTTTTTGATTTGCTCACTGTTAAGACTTGCCCCAGTGTTTGTGCAGCGTTACAATTTTCGTACGCTACCTTGGAGTAACGTCCATCACAGACAATAACAGTAGGACAACTAATCGACAGTCGAGACAATAGTGTCTGGGCCTGATAAAAATCTGATGCAATCACGGATGACGCAATATTTTTGAAGGCCACCCATCATACACCCCCAAAATAGATTCATATTACTGCAAACTACTTCAAATGACCTAATCTGAAGAAAAAAACAGAAATCGATTACACCCTGTCACTCCAGTGGGTCTAAAACTGACCGTATAGTGAAAGAAAGAAAAGAAAAGCGGGTGTTTTAATTAATTTGCACATGGGTGTAGTGATAAAACCATCCAGAATGTGAACATTCGTCAAAACATTACAAAGAAGAATGACAGTGGCATTGTTTAGAAATATGAAGAAGTTCGAAGAGCGTATCGGTCAAAACGTAATAGTAGAACAAACAAACATAAGAATATTAGTCCTAAGAACCAGTGGATTAGCCCCATTGATCTATTTTAGTATTTGAGAAAATAAACAATGCATAAATCGAAACGTAAAATCTATCCACAGTAAAATTTTCAACACATCAGAAATGAGAAATATTTTATGACATATGACTTTATCAAAATATGATTAATTTATTCTCCTTGTCGTTTTGTTTCCCAGTGATAATTGATTGTGA